AACATTATTTTACGTAGCCTTTTCTTCTTTTTATCACATTGTAATTGTATTACGCCTTGATATTACAAAATTGTAAACTTATGTACAGATAAAGCGTTATTTCGTCTTTCTATTATCATTTCTTCATGATAGCGATTGAAACTTATGAAAATTTCAAAAAAGATTCTTTAAAAATAAAAGCTGTTTTTTTTTGCAGTTTATCTATAATTTGTGATTTCTAAGTAGAGAAAAATAGCAAAGAATTGTGTTGAGACAATAGTATTGACGACTATTTCTAAAGTTACATAATCGATAAATTCTTGTTGTGAACTGTTATGTTACGTTTGTTTCATATTATCCGCGATGCTATGCGGCACTTAAGACAAAGTCATACCATTTTATCGAATGAGAATTTTTTTCTAAATGCTCTAAGAAATAAAACGCAATAAATATCTGGTGGCATAAATTACGATACGCCATCAAATAGCTCCGTGATAGATTATGAGATAGTGCACATTCTGAATTTGTCCACCTACATAGTAAGAAATTCTTCTACTTATCGCATCGAAAATTGAGCAATATTGTAAATGAATAGCAGGATCTCATGTTAAAAAAGACAAGCATAAAACACTTTGACTTGATCGACTATGGTTTTTATTGATTTTACGATTTATTATAGTTTTCTAGCAATAGAAATTTATTTCAGAGATGGAACCTGTCTAAATTTTTGACAATTAGAACTGATAGTGGTCTGAAACGGTTACACAGGTCAGCTTACTGGTTACCGGCCGGTCTAAAAGTCGTACCGGTACAGGTTCCACCGCTGATTTATTTGTTGCCATTGATCCATCAATACATAAAAGTTGAAAAAACAAATCATATACCAAAAGGAGAAGACGATAGCAGCAAATTAAAGTATTGTCATAGTAACCACTGAGATAAAAGTAAAGCGATGCTTTTTAGGTCATATTCTCCATAAAATGGGTGAAAAAGTATACCAGAGAGAAACAAAAATGTCTCTCCAAAAGTCAAGTGAAGTATAATTATCATGAGCTCAGCATTTGAATCCAGTCCGAAATTAGTGTACTGAATTTATATTTTTTTAAACATCTATGCCAAAATTTTTATTCTGTAACAATAGGTTTACACCCAACTATTAAAAAAATGCCGATTAATTGCGATTAATCGTTCTGATTTTTAGTGATTACGATTAATCGATTTTCTTTTCAAAATCGCGATAAAATCTAATTTTATCGGCGATTTTTCAACATAATTCGATTTATCGCGATTTTACGTTCATTTTCTGAAAATCACCAAAATCGCGGCGATTTTCACGACATGGAGTAGCATTAAACAGTTTTGGAGAAAGTTTTACTACAGCCTTTCCTTGCCAATACAGAAAAGTTGTTAAGATTATACATAAAATAATTTCTTATAAGAACTAACCCATTTCTTTTGGGTCACTCAACAACATCAACTGCGATTTAGTAACTGGGATATAAACATCAGTATTACTATGGAGTACCATTTCCATGAGTTTGTCCTTCATGGTGGTGTTTTTTTATCTATCGGTCTCTGATTGGTTTACATTTTGACGGGTGGTAATTTTTCACTCGTCGTGGTGAGTGATCGTGTTGTGGTAGCTTCACATCGATTTCGTTACACCAGTAGTCAAAAATAATCGTAATCTTCTTAGGAATATTGTTCCATGGGATTTCACGGCCATTCGAGCTTACATTTGATTTGTAATTAGATTAACAAGATTCATTGTATTTATGATTATTGTCTTGCATTTTATATATTTTCTTAAGTTTTATCGCTTCTCTTGTATTCATCATTTGTTTTTAACTATAAACAACACGTGAAATGAAGACTGATACTATTTATATAAACTAAAAGAAAATAACGAACTGTTTGCCTTTCATTCATCCTTTCTGATGAATAGGTGATATTTTGACTACACGTGTCTTTTTGTTTCATTAATAAAAACAAGAATATAAAAGAAGTGCATTTGCAGTTAGGCAATCAACAATAATCACTTTTTACCGTGTTACTTATACATGCTTCTCTTCGACATTTCTTTTATGAGTATTGTTTAAAAAAAATCAAATGAGTGATAGACAACCTCTGATAAATGAATCTAAGAAATTCTTCATTGGTGATGACAATGACGCTGATAATGAAAACAACAAACAGCTTTTAAACAATAGGTATGACTTAGTCAATAACTAACTTCGAATAAAATACACTAAACTTATCATGATTCATAGTTTTTCTGACTGGCGCCAATGCTTAAGTAGAAAAAGAAACGATAATAAATATATAAAATTAGACGATGATACTGAACATAATGACAAAGATGAAGCAGTGAATGTTTTCCATTTAGTAAGTGTATTCACATGAAATATAAATTAATCGATATGTTCGATTTTACCATAGTTTCGGTTTGCAAATGGTATTGATTTTCTCCTAATGTTCATTACTATGTGTTTCGCAGTGTTAGAGATGGTTTGTGTTCTCGCTTATCGAGTTGCCTACGGTTGGCTCACAGGAATATTTATAATAAAATCTTTTGATGATTATTGTGATTATGAAAACAAATATGCAACAGCTTCAATTAAGGACAACAATACATATACTCAGAACATCAAATTCAGTAGATTAAACAATATTTCGTTGCATAAGTAGCTAACTAGAAACTATTAATAATTAATAATATGTATTTCTTTTATTTTTCTTTGATATTTTTGCACTTTAGACTACGTCATACTAGTGATGCAAACCTGTCATCAATCTCAACTACATCAATATCTTTATTTCGAGAGAATGTTATGACCATAGTTCACTGGCTATTCAGTATGTGAAACGAATGTGATAATCTAATTATAAAAAAGTATGGTCATTGTCTTTTTTCTCTGTCCATATAGTTATTGGTGCTGTCCAATTTCTATGCTGCTTTCTTCAAAACTTTATCTGGAACATTACTGTAAAGCGACAAACATTCCGTATGAATGTTTACCTCTTTCGATCACTTGTCCAACGCGTAAGTAAAATACACTTCCATTTACAAAAAAAGCTTTCCAGACTTTAATTCCAGTCTTTTCTTGGCGTTTCTATAAAACTATAACACTCTATACTCGTTCTCATGAAGAACTTATATCATCAAGAAACTAGTAATTCTAACTAATCTATGAAACAGGCTAGAGTATTTCGATAAAAGTTACATATGCCTAGAGCTGCCTGAATATTTAACAGTTTCAGATCGAAAAATAAGGATTTCAAGCATCATTACAAATGTATTTTAAAGTTTCCTCTCACCTATATGTTAGATAGTCTCTTAATTGCTGATACAAATATGATCGTTTTGAAATTTTTTAGATACATAACGACCATTTATTGTTTTCCGAGAAATTTACAAGTTCAGTAGATGATAAGTTTACAGTTATGAAGACAGTAATCTTCATTGTTGCTATACTTGTAGAAAGACTAACGCTAGAAAATTTTTTGGAAATTGAATTTCAGATAGTGTGGTTCCAAAACGATTTTAAAGAAACATCGATGAACTCATGTGAATGCGGGTGTCGGTGAAATTCATACTCACACCAACATCCACACACCATCTAATTTTGAAAAGTTGTTATTCCACGGATTCGAACTCTAAGAACTCTGAAAATCTTGATAGAAGCCACTGTATATGAGGCCTTCAAATGAAGGCAGTCTCAAGACTGAATTAAAAATCACGGTTTTTCAAAACCCTGGGATCGTACAGAAGTCTCCGGCAAATTGACATATTAAAAATTCAATAGCTTCGTCAAGTCTCAATAAGAACTGAAAACACTTTGAGAGTTTCCACTAGAGTACTATCTAATATCTATGGGCAAAAATCACTGAAATCGGAGCACAGCATGAGATAAAATTTTCTCGTTAGTTCACAGTCAATGTGAAAGTGAACATTTGATGAGTGTAATCAATTTAAATCACATTTCGAATGGATCTACACGTAATACATTTTTTTCTCAATCATATTAAATTCATGTTGATTAAGTAACTTGTCAACTGAAGATAAAAATGTTAATAGTGAAAATGGCGATTGCAGAAGTAAATGCAAATGGATTCAAACTTTAGCGATAACATCTGGCAAAGAATGACTATTTGCAGCCAAATGTTAGTTCGTTTAGAATGAGGAAAATACATAGGCAATCGAAATTGTCCAATTTGGACTGTTTCTCTCTTTCTATCTCTGTCTTTAGAGCATTGCTTATTTGGATACGAAACCGACTGGTCAACTTAGTACTATACTATTTGAGTAAGCCACTCTGATATTTTATGTCAAACAACTTTATCTGATTTAATTCATGTATAGTAATATAGCAAAGATTGAGAAAGGCATTGGTTTCGAATTTTTAATATCGTTCGGATTGTTAATCACCGTAATTGGTTGGTTAGTAGAAACTTTGATTGTCAATTGGCAATTGACTTTAAGCATTGTATGGTTGTTACCTTTGGTCTTTGGTAGTCTATATGTGTTTTCTAAGGTATGAAGTTTTGTTCACTGCATTAAATCTGTATGAATCATTACAGCTCACTGCTAAAGAAGCCATGAATGAATTAATGGCATACTCAAAAGCAGGGCAAATCGTTCAAGAAGTGTTTAGTTCATTGCGAACTGTTCTTTCTCTCAATGGTAGTAAATTTGAACAGAAAAGGTGAACAAATATATATCAATAGTTTAATCATTTCATATCATAAAACATGTTGTCATTCTTATTACATTTAGATATGAAAGAGAATTGTATGCAAGTCATTGGAGTAGTATACGCCAAGGTGCAGTGTTTGGGATTTTTATTGGATGGCTATCTCTGGCAACCTATATAATTTATGCACTTGGTTTTATCTTTGGTTCTCTTCTTAAATCAAACAAAAATCATCATAGCATGAATATTAGTGATATTATTATCGTGAGTAATTCATATTATCAGTCAATAATGAAACGAATATATTACTATTATCTCAATGCAGGTCGTTCCCGTCTTTGCACAATGTATAAATTTCTTTAGTTTTATTATTCCCTTCTTTCAATCGTTTTCAGAAGCTCGAGGTGCAGCAGCATCAGTGTTTCGACTTATTGACGAAGTAAATTCGAATAAATCCAGGTTTCATATCGACAGCAATTCCCTCAATTTGTTTACATTATCTAGGGAAATGACGCAAATATCAATGAAATAGATGTATGGAAAGACAATACAGAATCGATATATTCTATCAATGGTGACATTAAATTTAACAATGTTAACTTCATTTATCCATCTAGAAAAGATGCACCAGTTCTGCGTAATCTTTCGTTTATTGCTCGTGCTGGTCAGACAACAGCTCTTGTAGGTTCAAATGGCTGTGGTAAGTTTTTTCCGAAACAAATATGTTAGTATAATATTATTTATGTTCATACTTATTCATAGGAAAAAGTACATGTTTATCACTTTGTCTTCGTTATTATGAACCTTCATCAGGTCAAATAAAGATCAATGGTCGACCAATAACAGATTACAATGTCCAACAACTTCGACAAAACATGGGAGTTGTTAGTCAAGAACCTGTATGGATTTTTTTTGTTTTTCTTTGTTTCTATTTACTTTTACTATTGTAATAGATCCTATTTGGTATGAGTATTTATGAAAATATTCGACTCGGTAAAGTGAATGCAACGCGAGCAGAAATTGAACAAGCAACACGAGAAGCAAATGCACATAATTTCATCATACAATTACCAAATGTTTGTGCCAAATATTTCTCTTTTATCTATGCATATGCATGATTATTTGTTACTTAGAAATATGAAACACTTGTTGGTGAATGTGGCGTACAATTAAGTGGTGGTGAAAAACAACGTATTGCATTAGCTCGTGCTCTTGTGAAACAGCCTACATTTCTTTTACTGGATGAAGCAACAAGCGCACTTGATAATATTAGCGAAAAAATTGTTCAGGAAGCTCTTGATCGAGCATGCAAAGGTAAAAATTGTTTTATTAGCTCTTATCGTATTCTTATATAATCATGTGTAGATCGTACAACTATCGTTATTGCTCACCGTTTGTCTACAATTCAAAATGCTAATCAAATATATGTATTAGACAATGGAAGTGTGATTGAACAAGGTACACATGAAACATTGATGGCAAAAGGAGGCAAATATCAGGCAATGGTCAAACGTCAAGAAATGGAAAGAATTTATGTTGATACAGATGACAGAATGAGCATACAAAAAGCAACAGAAGAAGATGAAAAAATGATAAGTCTGTTGAAATTTTTATTGTGATGGTGTTCATAGTTCTTCGTCTTTTTATTAAATAGCTCAACGCACTCATTTACTTATTGATAGTCAAGATGTTGATGTGAACAAAGTTAAAGTACTCTTATAATTCTTTATAAGATTTTATTATTTATAGTCTTCGTTTTTTAGCAAAGTTCAAAGCAGTTCAAACAAAGATTCGTCTTTTTAAGACTCTTATCAATGAATAGTCCTGAATGGATCACCATCTTAATTGGATGTATGACTTGTATACTTAATGGGGCAGGTCAGCCGTTGTTCGCATTTTTACTTGCCAAAATAGTCGATGTAAGTGACCGATTCCCATAATTATCATGCAAACATATTGACAATATATCGTTTTATGTCTGTTTGTGTATTGTGTAGGCATTCAAATATTGTTCAAACTCTGAGCGAAATCATCAAGTGTTGATCACTAGTTTTCTTTTCTTACTCTTGGGTGCTCTTTTGTTAATTTTTCGTTTCTTTCAAGTAGAGAGTGCTGCTTCTAAATTTGATCAATGATTTATTCACTTTTATGTTACAGTATACAGCGTTTGCCATATCAGGATCAAAATTGTCGCAACGTATCCGTGCGAAAGCTTTTGCATGCCTCCTTCGTCAAGAAGTTGCTTATTTTGATCGACCTGAAAACAGTTCTGGTGCGATTTGTACTCGTCTTTTTTCTGATGCTGCAGCCATTCAAGAAATAGCTGGAACGCGATTAGGAGCCATCTGTGAAGTTATTTCAATGACTTTTTTTGGACTGCTACTGGGATGCTTCATCAGTTGGCAATTAACATTGATCGTTTTCGGTCCTCTTTCTATCCTAGCCATAGTTACTTACAGTGATATGCATGTACATCGGTGGATGAACCAAAAATCCAAACAAATTGTTGGACGAGCAAGCACGGTAATATCAGGTTTTAGCTAATAATACTTTTTCGTAGAGAAAACTACCATGTCATGAATTATTTGATAAATCGAGTACACTACATTTTTTTCTCTATTTTACTTTTATAGCTTGCCACTGAAGTTATTAATAATATGCGTACGATAAAACAGTTATCAATAGAAAAGGAAGTTTTACGACAATATTCTGAACTTCTTCATCAAATATTTATGTTTGTCAATGGAGCTTTGTAGATGTATAAATGTTTAATTGAATTTTGTTTTTAACATAGCTTGTCTTGGAAACCTTCGATATTATTTTCAATAGCTTATGGCATATACTGGACTGCAGATGTATTCACGATGGCATTGGTATATTGGCGTGCTCTCATCCTTGTTGAAAAGAACGAACTCAGCTCGAACCGTATTACAATGTAATTTAAATCACAGTTCAATAATCTTGAGACAATAATTATTTCTTTATATTATTAATTTCTTAGGGTATTTGCTTTTACTGTTTTTTCGATTGAAGTAATAAGAATCATCGGGCTGATGTAATGCTCTCAATTTCTGTTTTCGTTTTTTTTCTTCTATTGTCTCCATTATAGATCTAACCGTATCGCTTCATCAGTATCGGCTGCTGACACGTTTTTTGATTTATTCGATCGAAAACCAGCTATTGACAATATATCTACTGAAGGACAAAAGTTGGTAAGAGAACATAAAGGACAACAATTTTTTTCAATCATGTATCTACTATGAATATTATGTGATTCGTGTAGGTCGACTTTCGTGGAGAGATAAAATTTGATCAAATCAGATTTATCTATCCAACTCGACCAACATCTATTATTCTTGATAAGTTTCAATTGAATATCAAGCCAGGTAAATAAGATAAAATTTGAACTAATCAATTGATTAGAAATTTGTCTTCACTAATAAGGTCAACGTGTGGCTCTGGTTGGTATGTTTGAATAAAATATTTCTTTTAATAAAATGTTGATTATGTAATATGATCGATACAGGTACATCCGGATCGGGTAAGTCAACAATTATGCAACTATTGGAACGATTCTACGATGTTACAAGTGGTCAGCTAGTTAGTATTTCTTCAACATATAGTTTAAGTAACCATATGAAACTTGTCTACTGAATTTAGTTTCTTGATAGTATTGATATTCGACAACTTAACCTACCATCGGTTCGTTCTCATTTTGGTCTTGTTAGTCAAGAACCAATCCTATTCGATTTGACAATCGCTGAAAATATAGCATATGGCTTAGAAAATGTTTCAATGGAAGATATTATCAATGCTGCAAAGAAAGCTAATATTCATCAATTCATTGACCATTTACCTCAGGTTAAGCAATACAAAATTTTACAATGTATCTATTACTATTGTATGATTTTGTTTCTTTAGGGCTATGAAACAAAAGTAGGGTCGAAAGGTAGTTTTCTGTCGGGTGGTGAGAAGCAACGTATTGCAATTGCTCGAGTTCTTATCCGCCGTCCTAAAGTATTACTCTTAGATGAAGCTACAAGTGCCCTGGATTCATATAATGAACAAGTGAGCTGCTTTTTTTCTATTTGTCGATAATAGGTTCATCTTCATTTTTCAATTATAGCTTGTACAAGAAGCTCTTGAGCAAGCTCAAACTGAAGACTCTAGTCGAACGACATTGATTATTGCTCATCGTCTTTCAACTATTCGTTCCTGTGATTTGATTTGTGTACTTCATCGAGGACGTATTGTAGAAAGTGGTCGACATACAGAATTGATGCAACAACGCGGAGCTTATTATAAAATACTTGCTCAAAACAACTTATAATGAATATTAGTAATTTACTTTGAAAATGAAAATAAACTTTATTAGACATAAAGAGAAACTATGCCTAAAAAGTCTGACACATGATACAGTAACAGTGCTCAATTTAGTGTAAGGTTTTTATTTTTAATAAACGTGAGTGAAGCTATCTATTGATTCGAATATTTCTTTCTGGGATGCATCCAGAAAGTTTTGCCAACACTGCTATTTTCGTTTAAAATAAGACTTCACAGATCAGACTATTGGATACGTTTCCATAAGAATAGGAGAAGATGCGTCAATAATAACAGTGCTTAGATCATTATCTAAGTTTTGATAAGCTTTCGCAGCATCCTATGAATCCAAGATTTGTACTGTAGATTCTAACTAGTGAAAATATTGTTGATTTTGATATTCGATGCAGCGAAAAGATCTTCTGGCAAGTATCCATCAGCAGAGCAGGGATCTTATTGATTAATCAGAGTCAGAATAGAACAGACGTAGAAAGTATAAACTAGTTGAATTCTAAGTGTAGACAAAACTCAACAATATACAGCGTGTCTCAAAAGTCATGTCAACTGTAGAAATGCATATAACTCTATTACTAAAACAAGTTTAGCATAATATTTTTTCTATTTGAAAGAGTAGTTTGGCTAATACAAAGTTCACAAATACTCTTCAAAAGCATTGTCTTTAACGTCAATACAAAAATGCAGATCTTTTACAATTTCTAAAAATACATCATCAAACGCTTCTTTTCTTTAGTTATTCTAGTCTCAGGTCTGGTGATCGAAAAGTTCATGAAATTGCTTGACCTCTTCCAATCCATTTATTATCGCATAATTTGTTTAGCCTGATTCGGAATGCTTTTGAGAAATGTTCTGGTGCTCCATCTTTCGAATAAATGATATTTTCTGTTATTGGATATCTAAAAGAAGCTGCTTTTTGTGTTGAAACTAATATTCAAACTGAGAAAAGCATAGTACTAGTATCTTTCATATAAAATATGTTTCACAGTTTGAAATTAAAAATCAAAATAGTGATTTTGATGGCGAAGTTAAGATCTCATACTTTGGTGTGGCGACATTTACAACAAGAAAATATAGCCAATGTTCCCCACATGCGTACCATCAGACGCATTTATAACAAGTTTTTCAAAGCAGCTTCAGTGAAAGATCGTGACAGGTCAGAAAGATCGGTTTCAAGAACGACAGAAAATACAACTGAAAATGCTAAAGTTCTAGCAAACATGCCTATGACTGCCGTTCATTCATCTCATTTTCCAACAGGTAAATATATTAGAATCTCCCGTTCAGCGTACAGTGCGTAATATTTTAAGGGTGGGTGTGGGTTTGGGTGTGAATACAGATTTGGAGTTCAATAACATCAACCTCCACACTCATACTCACATCCATATCCCACATCCATATCCACAACCACACCCTTCTCCATCTTCAATGAAGTATAAAAAGTTTAAGGCTTAATGACTTCAATTGCACATTTTATTCCTAGAAAAGTTCATTGAGATTATATTCACCAAAAATTTCAGCTTAAATGTTTGAGACACCCTAAAGATATTGCTTCATAATAATTCCTCTTGAATCAAATGCTCATCCTTTGGACTTTCGTAAAATATCCATTACTTTCAAGACTAAATATTTCTTAAAATAGCCTGCGTCAAAGTTCATAAAATTCTTCTCTTTACAATATAGGTTGAATTGAGTACTTTATAACGATCAGGACACATCATGACTTATGTTAGCATCTGACACCTATATGCTTTGTTCACTTGAGATTATCCTGTTCATGATATTTTGCGAGCCAATAAAATTATTGATATTGTTCTGCTTTAATTAGTGTTCGTTGAGTTTTTTAACAAAAACAACATTTTGTTTTTCTTATCATTTATTCTCCTATGTGCGCCACTATTTATTTAAAACAAAAATAAATGAAAAAAAAGCGAATTAGGTTCGTTTTACTGGTAGTTTCAATTTTCATTTGTTTCGAACATGGATTGAAATGATAGATTCAATCATTAAAGCAAATATAAATGTAAAAAATTTAAAACTAATTTAAAAAAATTAATTGATTTAGATAGAAAGCAATAGATTTCATTTTATTGTAAAACCAAATATGAAACAAAATATGTCGAAACTAAGTTGCAAAATAAGTCCAATAACGATAGTTCATGAAAATTATTTTATGTTGTTTTTAGCATGAATAAAACAACTCTCATGTTTTCTTTCCATTTCAATGATAAATAAATCTCTTCAAAGAAATTTTTATTCGATTTGAATAAAATATAACAAATGAAAATTAATTTCGTTCAATTTAGAACAAACTCAATATTTTAAACGAATTAATTAACCTTTTTAATTTAACGTAAGAGTTAGTTATTTTAATTCATTCTAAGATGGAGAAATAATTTTATTGACATATTTTATTTTATTTTAGCGAAATAAAATAATTTAATAAAAGTCTATTGCATTCAGAAAACAGAAATAAATGAAACTTCAATATAATCTTTATTTCATTCACATGTTTAACACAAAGCTCATATTCTGATTTTGACACATACTTTAGTTCTTAAGAATCAACAAAATAAAAGTATTATATTAATTTTCTTTAGCCTCATCTGAAAAGAAGAAAATAATTGGAGTTATTTGGAGTTGAATTTTATTTTTTCATCAGGACTAAATTAAATAGAAGAAAGAAATATCACATCATTTCGACAAACTACACGTCATTAAATATTTAATAAAATAATAGATGACTAAAAGAATAATTGAATAGAACTTTAAAGCTTTTGTGATATCTCGAGAAAAAAAGAAGGAGTTTAAAACTATTTCACTTGAAAATTAAAAACAATACTTCCATTTTGAAAAAAAGTATGCTTTGTCTCTGTGATAGAGAAATGCTATAACATAAATCTCGTGGTTTCCCTGGTCTTTACATAGTCGTGTACAACGATTGTTTGATTAAGTACTTCCCACCTTCTGCCTTCCTCATTTTCACTGAACAGTTGTTTTGGTAGATCTGATGTACGAACAGTAGATCCGCAATGTGTACCAAAGCCCTACCGTTTGGTATGTGTTTATATCAATATTTTCTTTTCCTTTTGTTCTGCAGCTAATCAAATCGATATATACACTTCTTGCATTCTGCACCATATGCTTATATACATATATGTATATATATTCCTGGGATCCCACCGACAGTTCATAGAAAAAGAGGAAAAAAGAGGAATTTCATTTTCGAGAAAAAGAGGATTTTCAATAAAAAAGAGGAAAATAAAGAGGCGCATTTTTTTTGCTTCTAACTATGCGAAAAAAAGTTACCGTGAGGTTCAAAGGTCGAGAAACCGAAGCGTCGTCAATGTAGGTTCAACGCAGACTCAAGAAAAAATGAAAAAATGAAGGCGATTATTAGCTGTTGACATTTGCGAACATGCTTTTCCTACTGAGCTCAGAAAAAGAGAAGTAAAAAAATAAATACACCAGACAAAAAAGGCAAGTCTGACTCAAAGGCACTTGATTGTGATTTCGCTTTATCTTAATGCTTGTAGGCAAAGCAATAGTAGTTCCAAAATCTGTTCACTTTGTGATATTACGAGAGCAGAAAGACCTAAAAAATGGGAAAAGATACAGTAACTTGCACATATTTATGAGCCAAGAAAATACGATAAATTCAGTTCAAAAGAAAAGTTTCAAAGTTTCTTTCTCAAATCTGTGACTAGTTTGACCTGTGAGCAGAAGAAGTTCTCTCTGAAAACAAAAATATCAGTTGTGATCAACTCTGCAGATTCGAAATGATTTAGAATTTAGTTGATATTTAGTAATATACAAAAAAAAAATTCTACTTGAAAAAATTTTCATATCTGAGTACACTACGGTTGAGTTTTGACAATTTTTCATAAAATTTTACTAAAGATGAGGAAATCTTATCAGTAAAGTTACATGATGTGATGAGTTTTTATCGAAATCCATGAGAGGTTGTCACTAATTTATCTTCGAGGCGACCAATGATGCAGAACCCTACTAGTGAGTGTGAACTGACATTTTGCGAAAATTTTTGCGACTGACGAAATTTTTAAAGCTTCAATGGTTAAAATCAAGTTTTCTTTGTTGTGCTAACTGGTTATATCGTAGAAACGATATCCTCATTCGAACAAATATAGTCATTTTAACGACATATTGCCAATTCTGGCGTCGAAATTCTTAGGTTTCAATCATCGGAAACCATATTCAAGTTCAGACTGAAAACTGTCTTTGTATTCACTCAAGCTTTATGCACAACCATTAGGAAAAAACTATTTCAATCAGCTCAAGCATCTAATTTTTAAAGTTTTATGTTTGCGCATCAATAAGTCTATCGCAACTTACTTTCGTATTTTTAAATTTCACCCTCAATTCATATTTGTTTTAGCTAGACCGATAAATTCCATGCCAAAAAAATTTACTAAATGATGTTTTCGATTAGAATTATTGCCTATTTAGTTTTTATGATGCGTTCTGGAGGATAATTTTGAACCTTTTTATTGATTCTCTTGGTTAGAAGAATATTGATTCACCCAAATCGACTGACATTATCAACTATTATCCTTGAAAACCTAGGTTTTTCTCAGAAAAAGAGGAAAAAGAGGATTCATAGTCGAAAAGAGGCGGAAAAGAGGAGGTTCAGAAAAAATAGAGGAAAAAGAGGCGGAGTGGGAAGCCAG